AGGTGGTGGTTGTTATTATTTATAGCTGGGTGTTTCGCAGAGGAAATTCACAGAGTGTCTCCATCCAAAGAGCTCCCAATGAAGTGTTGGGGGCCAGTGGTGCTGCTGCTCTCAGGGGTGATGCATCTACACTTGGCTGATGTGATTTGACAGCTGGAAGCCACATTCTGATGGCTTTCCTTCTTCCCTTGCTTTCTTCATTAAAGGTGCCAGGTTATCTTTGCAACAGAAGCAAACCTGCTTCCTGACCTCACACACAGAGCAGATAGAGCAATTTTTTCCCTTACCACCCTCTGCCAAATTGCCTTAACCCTGCCCTGGAGAGGAGAAAGAACAATTTGACACTCTTTGCCCATTCAGGAGGCAGCTTTTCCGCTGAGCCTGTGCAGGGAGGCCGTTTGGTGCCAGCTGTAGTGATAGATTTGTGGTTCCTCGCTGTTGCGGTTTCTTATGTAACGCTGGAACTAAAGCTGGCACTTGACAGAACCCGGGGCTCCTGTTCTGGCTCGGCTGCACATGATGCAAGAATAAAGGTAGTAAGGGTAGGTTGTTATCTTTATGGTTTTGTGATCCCAAGACAAGGCACCCCAGAGGAATTTTTCAGGCTGGGTCTATTTTTGAAGGATGGGATTGCTCTAAATGCCCCACAGCCACCACTCCTAAATAAATTATTTCAGGAAAGAGGGACTGCCCCATCTGGGGAGTGACACTTGGCTTTGGCACCAGCTCTGCTCCAGCCAGGGACTCCCCAAGGACTGCTGCTACACTGAATTCCAAAGTACCAAAGATTCAAGTACCATTGAATTCCAAATCTCCAAAGTACCTCTTGGGCAATACACACAGGCTGTAGAGAGATCAATCTGTAGACCACAACTTAGCCATGTGCAAGTGTCCCTAAAAAAGTGAACATTTACAGCTGTCCCATTATTATCCAAATAGATACTATTAGAAATTGATATATTTAATCACTCCCAGCCAGGGTGGAATTTGAACTCATGACCTAGAAGTAGTAGCAGAGTTTTCAGCTGCAGGAGAAAAAAAAAAATAAAATAGAAGGTCAAACAGGACTTTTCCTGCTGGGTAAAATAGTTTATTGCAGGTGAAACAGTCTCAGATATGTGGTAAATTAGGCTGTGCATTATCTCATGGATAATAACTTCTCTCTGATGTTTGGCTTCTTGTGTGCATCTTTATTTTGGGCTCTAAATAAGATAAGAAGCACCAGAAATCTCCCAGGAATAACAAATGCATTTTCTTTGCTTGATTGAGGAAATAAATATTGGACAGACATGTGTTATGCAACAATTTAAAAATAACTCTCTTGTAAAACTTGGAGTGAGCCTCAAATACCGCAGAAGTAGCAGAAATGTGTTACCTACCTTTTTATCAGCCAGCCAATATAGCTTTTCTCAGCTACTTTTGCTGAACTATTGGCCTGATCATTTCCTGGGCATTTTATTTTAATATATTTTCGTAGGAAATGCATTCCAAGTCTCTGTTAAATTTGAATCTACATTCAAGCAGGCAAGAGTTTGAAAAGAATGCTGCAGTCAGATTGAAATATCTGTGCTGTCCTTTATATATTGTGGGACCTGGTGGCACACAAGACAAAAGTGTGTCCAGGCTATGTTGGACAGGACCCTGGGCAATCTGGTCTAGTGGAAGGGTTGAAATAAGATGAGTTTTAAGGTCCCTTCCAACCCAAATTCTGGAATTCCATGACTTTAGATCTATCTGTGTATGGTGGACACCCATCTTGTGATTGTTTTACCCAAACTTCTCTCAGTCTTTCTGGTCAGCATCTCCTTAAATGAATGGTAACATTGGCCATATCTGTGCTGATAATCCAATTCCAGAAATTTCCTGGTCCTTTTGTGATAGGAAGAGCAAGGTGGAAAGAAATCTCCTTCTTCTTTTCAAATTGTCCCTCAGAGACGGTGCCTGGAATTTGATACCCCAAATTATCAGTCCCTGAAAGCCCAGTGCAGTAAACCAGATCATTTATTCACAGTGGTACAGCATTTTTTTAAACTGTAAGACCAGTTGCAGATGTAATGACAATAGAGGAAATTAGCTCATGATGGGATTTTAGGAAGAGGCTAGTGGAAGTATGTTCAGTAATGTTCAGTTATTAAACCATTAGAGATCCCACTGGAGACCAGCCAGTAGGATTTCTCATAATCTGCAGTGGTTTACAGCAAAACACAGAACCCCTGAGGAGGGAAATGACAAAATGTTCCTCTGGAAGAGTTGCCTCATCTCCTCACCCATTTCTGTGCTCTGCTCTGCTCTTGGTGTGAAAGCACATCCCTGTCTGTAATCCCTCCCTCCTCCACAGCCCTCCTGCCTGGAACCCCCAAAATAGGTCCTGGTGAGGTGGGATGGTGGATGTGAAACCAGAGAACACTGCAAACATCTGTGTTCACTTGGGGCCCAATCTAAGCTCCACTGAAAATGCACAAAATAACTTCCACTGGCTCCAGGAGCCTTCGGATCAGACACTGTGAGTGTTTGCTCCCACGGCTCTGTTCACCATTTTGGTGGGATTACAGGGAAACAGGAGGGTATTGAGTACTGAAAATCAGCTCTTGGCTCAGGTCTGTTGTAAATAAATCCAAGAACTCAGGTCTGGATTCAGAGAAGGTGAAGAAGATTAGTCTGCCAAGCTGACCACCCTAAACTGGGAAGAGATTTCTGCCCAAACTCAATGGAACGGCAGAGGGCTGAGGGCAGCAGCAAAAGTGCTCCCAGTCCCAGAGATGATCCAAAACTTGAGTGGTGATCCAAAACTTGGCTTCTTTTTGGTGATCCAAAGGTTGGCTCCCAGGGTGTGGTGGGCAGGGTAGGGTGTGCATCAGGCATTCTCCTGCACTGTGTGCAACCAGGCTGGTGCTGTTACAGACACCACGTCACAACTGAGATATGGGTAAGGGTGTCAGGAGCCAGGCAGTGCTCAGAGAGGCATGATGCAACAGGCAGAGCTTCATCAGTGACAGTGATGGCCTTGACAGCAGTTATCCTGTCCCAGCCTGCCTGCTGGCTGTGTTTCTGTTTTCTCTCTGCTGCACTGGGACACCAAGCGGTGTCCTCAGGTGGAGGATACTGGCACCAGTCCCTCAAAATCAATGGAGAACTGCTGGCTTCTGCCTGGAAATAGGGTTTTCTGCATTTCATGTCCAGCCTTCTGCCTGGAAATAGGGTTTTCTGCAAGGTAGTGATGGACTGAGAGTTGTTGATCTGAAAGATGGCAACTGAATTGAGAGTCTAAGGTTTTGTCTTACTGTAATGTATTGGGAACTTGGTTGGGGAGAGCAGGAATGTTTGGAAGGTTTTCATCCTGAGTTCTGTGTGTTTCTTTTATATATTGTAGGTTAATAAAGGTTTGTTTTTTTTTTTTTTTTTTCTTCTATTCCTAAGCTGGAGCCTGCTTCGCTCTGTTCCTGGTCACATCTCACAGTAGACAGCTTCTGCCTGGAAATAGGTTTTTCTGCATTTCATGTCCCCAGTCTGTCTTTCCTTCCTCAGCTAAACCACCCCAGCTTCCCCCTCCTGTGGTGACCACATCTGAGCCTCGTGCTGAGAAGTGCTTCCATCTTGTTCAGCAGTGAAGAAGAAAACACAACAGATTTTTTTTCCCCTTCCTTCATTCCCTGCTTCTAATAGCAACCAGGTGCTCTGACACTTAACCTGTGTGCTGCCGTGAAATTGCCTGTCTGGTGCAAACACCCATGTGAGGCCCAGGGCCTTGAGGATTTACTTTATCCCAGGATTTGTAACCTAATCTCGGTGAGATTGTCCATTTATATCAGCCACCTAAAATTCATATTTTTGTTGTTGTTAAACATGAGAGGAGAAAACTATCTCTTGACATTGTTTCTTTTGGTTTTTGGTTTTTTTCAAGAACTATCTTTAAGGCCTTGGCTGCAAACTTTGTTTTTTTACTAAATATGCTACTGTGTTTTCAACTGATAGCAGGGCAAATGCTTGGAGGATTATATCAAAGTCTGCAGGAGTTAATCAGTTGCATTCATATCTATAGGTTTGCTACTTACAAAACTTAACAGTCCTTGCATGCAAAAGAGAGGAGAGCAGTATGTTAAAAAAAATGTTCAAAATCAAGTGTGTTTAAGGTCCTAAACAGGACCTGGGTTTCAGAGCAGAGGTGCTACAGGCAGACATGTAATCCTGCCCCAGGGCATCTTGTGCAGGCATGGAGCTGCTCCGAGCAGCAAATGCACCTCAGAGGGACAGATGAGCAGCTGAATTGCAGTGGTTTAAACCTGCAGTGTTTTGCTGAGTTACTTTAGTTTTACACCAATGGAAATGAGAGCAAAGCTGCAGACTAATTGCCTGGTTTGGATTTGTGGTGATTATGAGAGTTGGTGGTGGCTTTGGTTCCTAGAAATATTCTAAGGATCAAAGGATATTTTCCTTTTCTAATACACTGGATCCTTTAACCTCTGACTTCAGTGCCAAGCCCATGGGTTATTGCATAAGTGGGTAAGGTGACTGGTTTAGGTGTTTGTTAAACTTTCTGACACAGCCAGAAGCAAAATTTGGGTCTGGGCTTCAGAAAGCACAGAGTCCTGCTGGTACAGAATGTACCCACCCAGTGTCCAGCTCAGATTATCTGTTCAGGCTGTTTGCTGCTCCATGGTTTTTCCTTGGAAACACCCAGTTCAGGTTTGAATTTGGGAGCAGAAATCCACCATACAATCCCCAGTCTCCCATCCAGCCCCTGAGTATTCCTTTAGTACTCCAACTACCTTGTTTTGTAAACAAATCCTGTGCTTGTAAACAAATCATAAAAGAGTTGGAGGGCACAGAGCACACCCGTGGCCCCTGCTGCCACTTCTCTCCTCATAGAGAGAGAGAGAGAAAAGCCTCTCCAAGGCTGTTTCCTTGGCATTTGTGTCTTCTGAGTCAGCTCAGTATCTGAGAGAGAGGCAAGAGGGTTGTTTTGAGGCCTTTGCACCTGCCATGTTGCTGTGCTTATCCAAACAGGGAGAGCTTGGGCCACAGCTGAAATAACAGCCCGGCGCAATTCGGGATTTTTGACGTCCTCCTTGTGTTTACAGCATCCCACCCCTCCTCTCTCCAACTGCAGAGCCAGGCAGGAATTCTCTTCATTATCTTCTGCCGTGCTTCTCATGCCATTTTTATTAAAAAACGGCAGAGCAAGGGGGAGCATATGTGTGAGAGGAGACAAGAAGAAGAAAACAGTTGTATTTGTGCAGTCAATGACAATGAGGGGGAAAGAATGGAAGTTGGGGAGCTGATTTGTTTGGGTTGTCCTAAAGTGACCTTGTCCTCCTAGCTCACTCTTTATCAGCTGTTTTTTGGAGCACCTGAGGATAGTGAAACCTATAAACACAATGGTGTTGGTGGATATTTGGGGTAATTCAGGACTTGTGGAACTGGCACTTTTGGAGGCTGTGAGCAGCATGTGGGGACAGACTGGACAGCTCCAGGGCAAGGGATGGTGTAGACCTTCAGCTCTTCTGTTTGTGGTTGTAACCCAGTCCACTCTGGCAGCTGATCTAAAGCATTGCAAGGAGGGAAGATGTGGGGTTGATGCTGTTTGCTGCCAGCAGATTTCCTGTTTTGCTCGGCAAGGCTTCCTTGCTAGAGGAGAAGAGCAAAGGTGACGGTGTTAGAGGGAAACGGGGCTGTCACCAGCAGACCAGGGCTCATTCTGGGCTGCAGAGAGGTGGCAAGGAAGTGTCATCTTTTGTCTCAAGTGTTTGGTGGCTGTTTAAGGTCAAAGACAGATGGGTCCTTCATGAGGACACCTCAGGTGTAGAATTTGCCTGTTTCACACAACACTGGCTGTGATGGTTGTAATTTAATTGGGGATGCTAAAGCCTGTGTCATCTTGTCCTTAAATAAGAGGAACACTGTCTGCTTTCATTGCTGTCTGACCATTTGTCTTTTCATAGGGCAGAAGCCGGGTTCAGCCTTAAGGATATTTTCAATTCTGTTGGAAACGAGTCTTTGCTGTATAAGAAACCTCCTGCCATTATTTGTAGTATTAAAAACATATATGCCATGGCAGTAGGAAAAGAGGCATAGGATATTTGCTTTCCCTCAATGCTTTCACTGCATCTCAGGTGTGTCCTCAGATGCTGAAACCCTACAGCATGCATAGGGCAGATGTGGTTGGGGCAGGAACCCAAGGGCATGACTGTTTCTTCTGTAAATTCAATAATCCTTTAAACCCACCTTGGTCTGAGTAAAAAACAACTTCCCACAGGTATAACTTTTCCCATTAAGTTTTCCAGGAACACCCAAACTGAGAGCAGAGGTGCCTCGCCTGGGGGGGAGAGAGAGAGCAAGATTAACTCCACTGCCCAGCCTCCCCAGTAAAAACAGGAAAAGAATTAGAGGGTTCTATATTCCTGACCCTGGATCACTTGCCACAACAGACAGGAAAGTTGCCCTGGTAGTATTTCACACGGCACATCCTAATTCCCCCTCTAAGCAGAGGGCTTGAGTCATTGCTTTTTAATAAGGCTGCCTCCCCACAGGCGGAAGCTGCAGCGATCAATGAGGCTTACTCAGTTCTAGAGGAGGTCATAAAAAGACCATAGATATACATTTGAAGAGGGTTTGTTCACATCCTTGATGTTAAAGATGTTTTCTTCTCCCTCAGTTCCTTAAGTTGCATCTCACAGAGCCACTGTGCACCAAGTCCTGCCCAGCAGCAAAGTGGAAAATGTCCCTTGTTGCTGTCACTGTGTCACCAGCTCCCATGGCAGGTGGGAGAGAAAATAAATGGTCAAATATCATACTTTGATCACCACTTGGAGCACAGCTTGTCTTGCTGACATCTCCAGATACAGTCTGTGTAGGGGGACAGAGTATGGGTAAATGAAGGTAATGTAGAATGTAATCTTAGCCCACAATGAGGTGCAGCTGGACCCTATTACTAAAGGTTAGGATCAGGCCTGATGATAACAGGCAACACCTGGAGCCAATAAGAACTAGTGGCATAAAAGACTGGATTGGTGGAGTCACATGAGTCAGGTGGTGGCTGCTGCAAGGACCAGGAACAGCTAGGGCTCAGAGGAGCTGCCTATGAGAAACATCGAGGAGGTATGGAACTCTGAGGACATGGAACCCTTGCACCATAATGGTAAAAGAACCCTTGATATATAAGACAACATATAATGATAATAGAGCTGTTGTAATATATAGGACAACAAGTTTGAGCTATCAGCCTTGGTGTCCTATAGCTATAGAGAGGGGATAAACCCCCAGTTCTTGCATTCCTCCCTCCCTCACTATGGGACTGGATTATTGCCTGGGGTATTGCACATTTCATCCCCTTAGCAGCTATATTTCTCCAAAATGTGGGCACTGTGAAGGAACGCTGAAACTCCCAGTTGCTGCCAATATGACACATTTAGCAGTTCAGGAGGATGTAAGTATCTCACGTTCCAGTTGTTGAATTGTGAAATGCCATGTGCATCTCAGTCAGCTTTTTGTCATACCTTGAGTCAGGCCGGGGTTAGCTGAAAGCATAATGGCTTCAGTTTTGAGTTTCTGAGGTGTTTTTTTGATGTTCTAGTCCAGCCACATCTCCAGCTCTGCCTGCGTGGTGCTGAAGAGCCCCTCTGGAGCAGACATCCCATTTCTGAGCTCCTCTGGGCACAGCTGGTTTTGTTGGTGCTGCCCTGGATGTCACATCCTGGGGCTCCCTTGCTGTTCCCTAGGGCAGAGAAGACTGTGAAGCTTCAGGTTGCTCAGAAGGGGATTTGGGATGTGGATGGAGAGGATTTGCCCCTCTGGAGACCTACCATTGCTCTACAGGCACCACATGGCTCCAGACATTTGTCTTTCCTTTCTTTGTATTTTAACCTAAGACAAGGATATTGGGGTATCATGAGCATAAATTACTTACGCTCTTATTTTCTACCCATACTTCAGAGGAATAAGGGGAACCAGACAGTGCAAATAATGTGTAAGAAATTTTGTTCACCTTCTTTTTGGAGAATAAATGGGTTTGGTTAGAGGTATTTTGTGTCACTAAATTTGAAGGGTCATTTGCCTGTCACAATACAAAATTCCAAGAGCATTCCATCCTTTAGCAGGTTGCAGTTGGATATCTCCCCTCCCTGATGTGCAGCAGGTGACAAGGTTAGAGCACAGCCCAGTGTCACAAAGCCAGCAGCCAATGCACTCCATACAAAGTTTTCCATGGTTAATCCATACAATTAACTAGGTCAGAGTTCTCCCCACCTAATAACTTTCACTTCCAATTTTCTGTCTTATTCACCCATGTACATGTTCATCTCCAGCCACCTCATAATTCATAAACACCACATTCTCCCTTGTGCTTGATTTGATTCCAGGCTTTTGTCCACCGTATTCTGCAAACTTCCAGACAAATGTGAACTTCTCCTGTTGGCCCTTTGCTTACATGTGCACACAAATACTTCCCTCCAGTAAAACACATGTGCAAGGCACATTCACTGCTCTTAGCCTGCCTCATCACCTGAGGTATTGGTGGAAATCACACCAAAAATTATATTCTGCAAACTCCTATTTTACACTCAGAACCACAATCTCAGTGCATCAGAAAGCAGCATGGCCCTATTTATTTTGCAGCTGCCCCAACTGTTCATTTGTTACCACTTTCAAAAATTGAATTTTTATATTTTTTTGTGGTTAGCAGATCCCCCAGTGACTAAATCCACATTTCTGCAAGTGTACTTGTTAATCTTAAATATTTTACAAATGGTTTTGAGACAGAACTTGAGAAATAACTACTCTTTAATAATCAAAGCTTGGCTCTGCTTTGATTTCATCAGTATATATGAAAACCTCCCATCTTGGTAAGTGGATTTATCTGGGAGTGAAATCTAGAGGAAAACCCTCACTATTTTACTACAGTGTGTGTTTGGCCACTTTACTCACTTCCTATAATTTTTTTTTCCCCTCCCAGAAAAACAGTTGCTTTAAACAAGCCCCAAGGGGCCGAAGTTTGAAACTTTTCACTTTGATTGAATAAACAGTCTTACCAATATCTGGGTAGGCATCTCCCCAGCCTGTAGGTGAATTAAGATACTGTTTGTGCTACACAAACTCTCAAATTTAGCTAATAGGAGCCACGGACTGTTGCTGACAGGAATCAGGTGCAGAAGGAATGAGAAAGCCAGTTCTGTTTTCCTTCCAGTGAGTTGCACTCCCATTCCATTGCCATGTGCAGTAACAGAGAGTCAGATCCCAGTGCTCTTGGTGCGCAATTCATTCAATTCCAGTTTCTTTTGGAGGCACAGTACCCATGAGAAACAGCTTTGTTGTAAAATATAATGTGGGATATTGGAGTTTAAGTCATGCTTGTTAATTTAATGAATGTTGTAAGGAGATTCTTATTTCATGAACCTGAAGATTTCAGTAACTTGTTGATATCGACTTCAATAGCTTTGCTACTCTGCGCAGTAGATTTATCTCCTCGTAGTACACACTTCATTAGTAGATGCTTTTTGACCAAGTTCCTGTGACAAAAAGCCATGTATATTGCTGTCAGTAATTGGGGCAATGTGAGCTCAGTGAGCAGAGGACTGGCAGGCCTGGGGAAGAGCTGGGTTGCCTTTCCTGCTCTGCAATTAACCTGATTGATGACTTTGAGCAAATCATTTTGTCTTGGCCACTCCATGGCTTTACAGATCTGCACAATGAGGACAACAAATGAGTTTCTTTGAGGAAGGTTTTGAGTTTTGGTAGCGTAAAATACATTGTGAAAGAGCTAAACATTTTTATTAGGATTATATTATTCCCATATTACATATGAAAAATATTATTCCTCATTTACAAATGCACAGGTTTTAGGTAATTATGGCTTTGCATAAATATGTAACACTTTGCTAATTCTTTATGTGAATATTTCAGTGTTAATACCCTGATCCTGTGCTGTGGTGTGGATCCTATTTTTTGTTCTGGAAGAAACTAGCTATTTAACTCTTCTGTTTTAATGCTTATAAGTGATGTGGATAACTTATTTGTCCATCACTGAAACATCCTCAGCTTACACTAATCCAGGCTCCAGGTGCCGTTAGATTGAGCTCAAGGCTGCTCAGGAAATAATGAGTATTTATAATAATAATGAAGAACAGGGTATTTTAAATTCCTTAAATGAACAGACTTGCTGGTAGTGCTGTCCTTGATGTGGAACAGAAGTGCCCAAGGCTGAACACAGTGAGGCATAGGGCTGGTTCCTCAGGTGTTGAAGCAGTGCTGGGGATGCTCTCAGTGTTTCCCTCTGCTCATGGTGAGGGTTGGCACTTGCCATGGTGTCACTGCAATGCCATCTCTGCAGCAGGCGGAGATGTAAGCAGCACCTGACCAAAATAAGGGTTTAGCTGTTGGTGGTCAAGAACTGCACCTGTTTCAGAGTCATACATAAATCAAGCATAGACAAAGGTAGTGCTGATTGTGCTGAAAAAAAAAAAAAAAGACACTCAACCAAAAATTAATCCCATCAAACCAAGGTAGGACTGCTGGGAGGAGCTGATTGAGCTATACCTTGCTTTTTTGGCAGCCAAACCCCCTCCAGTCCCTCTTTCTCTGCCCTTTGCTGCTGCCTTTGTTGTGTGAATGACTGCCTCTCCTTTTGTCTGGCAGGGAGCTGAGCGACGGGAGCACGTACAGATACCAGGTGGTCGTGGTGTCCGGGATGGAGGAGAGCGAGCCGTCCCCTGCCCTCGTGTATATATCTGGGAGTGGATACTGTGGAGATGGGATTATCCAAATGTAAGTCTGGAGAGAGTAAACAGATAAATCTGGGCACATCTCCTCAGCCAGAGTCTGAGGCTAGGAAGGAATTGATGACCTCTGGTGTCTCCTTAGGTTAGGCTGGCTCTCATCTGTAGATAATGACTCACGTGCTTGATGATTACTGGGATGATGACATTTAATTGTACTGTGGGCCCTTCTCTCCTGGCACCAGGAGATACAGACAGAGATACAGATAATGGAGTCCAGACAGCAGGATCGATAGGCAAGGACGCTCTGTGCTGTTTATGCTGTTTGCCCGTGTATCTGTATCTTTATACATGGATGTGACATTTCCTGGAGCTGGAAAAACTCACACAACCTTCAGTGCTGCCCCATGTGTGTGGCAGCTGGGTAAAACCCTGCCACGTGTTGGGGCCAAGGTCCTGGTGCTACCCCTTGTTTGACTGACCACCAGAGCTGGGATGCATTTGGAAGTGATAGATTTGGCCTCGGAGGGAGAGTGCTGGGAATTGAATGTTCTCAATCAGCTCCCCTCTCTCACCAGTCCCCAGGCCACTGAAAATGTAAAACAATCCTTCTCGACTATGTTAGAGTTTATTCCTTTACTATGTTGGCCCTTAAGGCTGATGCTTCAAAGCTTCCTGGCATTAGGTAATTTAATTATTTAAACTATGGAAGTAACAACAAGCAAGTGCTTAATCCAGCCAGTATTATTTGCTTGAAATAATGCTGATCAGCAATCACGCAGCACAACTCTGTCAGATGATATACCTGGCAGCAAATATTTGCAGGAAGAAGCCCAACAGGCAAGGAAAGCAAAGAAAACAATCAAACAACAAATGAATCCAGGGCAATCCTGGAAAGAGAGGTGGAGAAAGACAGATTAATTTTGCTTTACATAACTTTTCTGCTACTGTTATGTTTGCACATTCCTCAAACATCACTTGTGGCTTTGCAGCAAGTGTCAAACAATAGCTGAGCTGCCTCAGGAGCGAGCAGGAACCAGACTGTGTCACAGCTTGGTTGGTTGTGGCCCCACTTGCAGCTGTGGCAGCCCCTTTCTCATCTGGTTCCCACTCTTCTCCCCAGCCATGTGGGCTGGCACGAGGCAGGGCTCCATCCACAACACCCCTTGCTCCCTGATG